ACGTTCAAATTATAATAAGTGACATATGTCAATTTTCTAGATGCTCTTATTTGCAATATCTTTGGTCCTTATTTAAGGAGTGGAATATTTTCACTATAATTTTGAGCACAAATCGCTACTTTCGGAAAGAAAAGAGAATTTGCATCTCTATTCTCTAGGAACAAATAAAACTATCTTTTTTTTTTAATAACATAAAAGTAAAATAAAGTTTGAAAAGTACATAGTACTTCATTTGATAATACTTTCTCTACTATTTGGGATAATTACTCACGGAATTATTAGTCATCTAATTTATAAAATATTTTATTTCATTTCAGGAATACCTCTAAGGAATTTTTTTTATATAAAACGAGTAACTCTTTATTTTTGTCAAGATATAGTTAAGAATAAATTAATACTATATGGTTTAATTAATAAGAGATATATTTTTATTTGCTATATATTTGATATTAGTATTTGTATTGATTAAATTTATATTTACACTTTACAAGATCTATTTTTAGAGTGACGTTCAATCCCAAGACATTTGAGTATAGGTGGATGAATCTTAATCCTCGGCCTATTGAGTTTTCTTTCCAAACCATATGTATCTTCATAGTTCATAACTATACTATTTATCGCTTTGATTTTTGAGAATTAAATTTATTTCAAAATATATGACGTACATTTTAGAAAAACAACAAACATATATTATTTCTTTATTTTTCTCAAAATGCGGTCGAAGAATATAATAGGAATGGCAAAATGAGTTAAATTTGTTATTATTTGTTTGATCCAACGTATTTTGAATGAGTTGGATTGCCAATCACTTAATGATGGATTAGATATGGATCAACTTATATTATACATCATAAAATATGGATAATCCATGAGTATCGATTAATTGCACTTCCCTTAAAGTATGTAAGGGTATATGAACTTCTAAAAAGTACACCTATTAAGGGTATGTTTGGTATAAAGAAAAAATATTTTTGAAAAATATTTTCTAATTTTCTCATAGTTATAGTTGTCTTAAATATTTTGGAAAATATATTTCAAATAGGTTTCTTCTTCAATAATTTAATAAAAATGACTTCCTTACATATAAGTAATTGAAATATTTTTCAAAATTTTTCTTAAACTTCACTATCCTGAAACAGGTTTCGATTTGAGATTCGACTTATGTCCCTGTCCCTAGATTGACTTGGACTTGGGATCCAACTCCTGACTATGACCCAATCCGAGACCCAAGATCCAACTTCCGACTTCCCGACTTCCCGGTCGTCCGACTACGACTCTGGCTTTGACCATTCGCTTAACAAAGATATTAATTATAATCATCCATAATTCAGTCATTAGGTCAGATTATCTTTTATAGGTCTAAATCTGAATCATTCTATTTAACCATTAAGTGTATTATTTTTTATATGTTACGATCACTTAATAAGCTTGAATACATTGAATGATTAAGAGATCGGTAACAAGTCTTATGCGTTATTTGTTTGCTTGTAATGGAGGGTTTTAGGCGTCATTAATTTGTTTGAACCTAATGGAGGTTCGAATTTGAATGGTTCAGACCTTACTCTATTAAGTATGTTTATTTTTGTTAAGATTTAAGCACTTATAATTTGATCATTAAAATCTTGAACAAACTCTTAATATCATTAAAATGTATTTCGTGTAGATAATTTCGACCACCACATTTTATTCATAATTCACATGTTACAACCACTAATCACCTCTGCCATTATAATCACCACTACCAATAATACTATCACCAACTACCTCTGTCATCACAATATAATCATGCACCATTGTTGTCAACTTTTACTGTCAGTCTTACCACACTTACCACCTTCCTCATTATAACTATATCTACTGCTACCAGTGTCAACCACCATTACCCTTGACAACCACCAACCACCTCTGCCAACAAGTATTGTAGCCATTACCATACCTACCATTTCCATCATTTTAATTATATTCATTGCTACCACCACCTCCACTCTCAGCTACTACCATCACTATGGTCAATCTCTACTACCAACCACATTCATAATCATAGCTAGCACCGATATCAATTATTACCAAGACACTATCTACCACCACACATTTTCAACTACCACCATCCATTTTGCCAACTATTAACATCAACTAATTACTTCACTATCACAACCATCACCTTCCTGGCAATCATTACAACATCAACCACCTCTACCATCACAACAACCTTCTTTAGATGCCGCCATCACCACCCTCTATAATATATTTTTAAAATATTGTATTGATATTGTATTAGATTAATTTAGTATAATTCTTATTTATTTATAAATAAAAGAAAAAATAATTGTATACATTCAAATGTTGAAAAAATAAACAATCTTCATACAACATTTTACTATTGAAATGTGTATTTATATTCAAACATCTAAATGTGTGGTAAAATTCAGACGTCTTAATCTTTAATGAAACAAATAAGGCCTAAGACTTTGTTACATAAATCATTCAAATCTATTTTGACTCATTAAATGATTGTAACATTAAACAACAAAATTAAAATCTAAATAATTAAGATTCTAACTTACGTCACAAACAATTTAATGATAGTTATGAATAATTAAAATTAAAATCTTCATTAAATACAAACAAATAAGATCTTAGACCAGCTTATAAGCTTCGTCAAACACAACCAAAGACAAAAGCTACTAACTTATTGGTTTGATAAGTTGGTAAACAGTATAAAGGTAATCTAAGATTGTTGATAGTAAGTGCATCATTAGCTGTATGAAAGCCATTATAAACATGACAACTAAGTTGATAATCTAATCTCCCTTTTTAATCTTAAAGCACTTAAAAGATAAAAATTCGATGTATTTTGTTTGAAGAATAAGATTCTATCACCACCATTGGAAAGTCCTACAAAGTTGTGTCTTCAATATGTCTTCAATATGAATCCATCTTCCTCCTCATTCTCCTTTTGCCTTTTCCATTTTTTATTCTATTTTTTTTCATGTCTTTTTTGGATGATTTGACATTCTTCCACACATGGCCTCTACTTTTGAACAAAGAAAAGAATCATTTTACACTTTTTTAGGACCACAATCAAGCTACCAAGATGTATGTGAAATTGTGAACCACTAATTCTTAATTTGAGTTCCTTTGAACAAATATTATGAAATTGAAAAAACAAAATATGTGAAGTTGAAATTAGACAAAGAGTGTCAAAATTTAGTTGTATTTGGATATATAGTTTGACAGAATTATATACAAGTATTTTTAGAGTAATATTTCTTACTTAGGTATCGAACATAAAATAAATAAATAAAATTATTGAATGAATTGTTATGTGGGGATTGCATAGTTTAAACATATTATTCATACAATGCATTTGCTAATATATATTGTCATTTTATATTTGTAATTCATCAAATAATCCATAAATTTTCATATAAGTTAATGAATACTAGTAATGTGGAGCTAAATCCACCAACTATATATTATAAAAGTACCAACTACTGCATTAATTAATTATATATTTGCATTATTTTTCTTGTTAAACCAATCAGATATCGTATTACTTACACAATTTTTTGCGGGACTTCTTTTAGTTTTGCAACCAACTAAACAACCCTTCAATAATTGATCCCAAACGTCTTATCGCTTCGATGAATCACTTTAGGATAATTGTTTATTAAAACAATATTTACACAAATCATATATTTGACCAATAGAGTCGAGCCTAATTTAGCTTTGATCAAAACAGAGTACGTAAAATCAAAGCAAACTCTTTTCAAATCAAGTTAAATCGAGTCGAACTAAAATAGAATTGACTTGGTTCAGTGCTAAAGCCACCCACTGCCTATGGGCTATGTCCACATTATTGTCACATAGGAATATTCGGCATATTAATACTGTACATATACAACATCATTTTCACTTAAAATTCTAAATCGACCTCTCATTCCACCAATGTCCATATAAGCCAACCCCTTCTTCTTTCTAACTAGGGTCTGAGCTAGAGCAAGAGAAAAAAATTATTAATTTAACATAATTCAGTAATTCTAATAAAAACTTTATATTTGTGTTAAAATTTTTATTAATATGTATAATTAATGCATTATAATTTAATAAATTCATATCTTTTTAAAAATAGTTAAAATCCATAAATTTAAAATTATGACTTTGCTTCTAGCTCGTACACCTTTATATTTAAAAATTTTACATGAATATTTACCTCATAAAGTGCTAGAGAAAAAGGGGGGAAAAGGGCAAAAAAAAATAAAATCACTTTTGTGGAAGCTTCTCTTTTATTGGAATTTCTTTGTCTTTGCTTAAATATAAAGCTCAGAAGAAAGAAAAGGACAAAATAGTTCCTTATGTAATTTTGATTCTTTAAATTTGTTATAAGTAAGCATTTATTTGCCTATGTAAAAATACATTTAAACAAACTTTAATGGCTAGATTTAAAGGTAACCTGGAGAAAAAAGATTTGGAAAAGGGTCATATTTGTCTTTATATTCTTAGAAAAGGGTTATTGTCCTTAGTTATATATATTTTTTTATATATTTATCCTTACCGGCCAAGTTAATAGACACGCATTTGCCCTTAGACCGTTAAATCTCATATTTCCACTTTGACTTTGTAAAATAAAAATTACAAGAAATTAACTCAAAGGAAGCTTAATGAGATGTATTTAGAAAGGACCAAAATATTCATGAGCTTCATTAATTTACTCTTACACTGGTCAGTTACATGCCCTCCTTAACTCACTAAGTATGATCATAAAGGTAAATACTACATTTATCAAAATCTTCTTGCTATACTTATAGGGCAAACCCCCCCCCCCCCCCCCCCCCCCCCCCTCCTCTTCCCCCCCAAAAAACAAAACTCATCAATGAAAATATAAGTGAAAATATTTGTCGTCGTCGTTGTTCTTTCTTTAAAGCAGCCATCCTTCTCGAGATTCACACGATGAAGGTGGCTGCTAACCTTGACGATCTTAATATGTGTAACAAAAGAACTCAACAGTTTTTGCTTAGACTCTATATTTGTATCAGAAAATTTATTATTAATTACGAACCCATTAACTAAGACGACCTATATAGATATAGTGACATGACTTTAGAACCCATAAACTTCAAATCTTGGCGACCGTCATCACATAATGGAACAAGCACTTGGATTGTCATCACTAAAAAGGTAAGCAAATTTTTCTTCAGTAGCATTTGGGGCAAGAAGTGCTTGTGGCACATTTTTAACCATACCAGCAGGTGCCCTTTTATCATAGGCTTGTGGTGCATGTGGATAATATACCACATTATAAGGTACATATGGCCAAAATTCTGCTCTTTTTCCAGTACTCTTTATTTTCTTCAATACTCTATTTGGATCCACATAACCATTTATTATCACTTTACTTTGCTTTCTAATCACTTCCACTGATTTTACACCTGAAATAATTTCAATATAATTTTTACAATTTAAATTCTATGCACTGACAAAAATAATAACACGAACATATACTTAATGGTATAAGTAAGGTCTAAGGAGGATGTTGTGTATGCAGTCTTGTTCCTATCTTGTTAAAAAAGGAGGTTACTTTTGATAGGCCATCAACTAAGTTCTACGTGCTGACGTTGTAAAAATATTAACATAATCAGGTCACTTCAAAGGTAATTATTGTAGTAATTCTACTTAATAACATTGATTGGTAACTCGGAATAAATGGTAAGTAACATGTTAAATTGTATCGATAATATAAGAAATTCATTGTATTATCAGGGTATATAGCTTAATTTATGTAATTAAAGAAAAAAAATCATGATAAATAATTAAACTAGCTAGAAGTCTCTATAGTACACGTGTATAAGATAAAATATGTAATACATGTATAGAAGTATGAGTTTGACAAAATTCAATAACTTTTTTCAGAGATTGTGTAGTTATTAAAAAATTATTAAATATGTATTCAGAACCCATAAACATAAAATCTTAAACCCGCCTCTAATACATGTATATTTGTACTAAGTTGGTATCTATATTCCAAAAGAATTTCCATGACAATGTGTAAATTGGAACTCATACCTTTACATGTGCTTGGTATTTTATTTTTATTAAAAGAAAATGGAGATGCCAAAACACAGAATAAGTAACAGTTCATTAAAGATGATATATACATTTTGACTACTATTTCACATGAAAAAGTAACATTTCCATAAGTACAATGTTTAATTATTTAAGCTTTTAAAAGAATTTTCGCATCCTTCTTTTTCTTTGTTGATCATATAAACTTGTACTATTTGATACGACGAAATACATCAATAACTTCTTAATTTTTTCAGTAAAATTTTATTTTATATTCAAGTTATGACTTATTTTAATTAAATATCTGAACATATGATAAAATATTTATATCAAATACTTCCATCTCAAAATTTTGGAAAAACTTTTTCACATATTCTTAAGTATCTAATTATGTACATGTCAATCTCCTTTTAGTTATACACCACAACTTCAATCGTAACGGCTTATTAAAACTAATGCATATAATCAAAGATGCTAAGTTATCTACATGTCATGAAAACTTAAGAACACACAATAAACTAAATTTGAGTCGAAAGTGTCTAAAACACTTTTTTCATATGTTTAGATGCTCAATCAAACCAATCATCATTTCAAATGTCGATTAAATAAAATTTATTGACAAAATTAAGAGGTTATCGATGTATTCCACCAAATAAAACTTGTGATAACTTTGAGAAGAAATGTTTTTTATTTGAAGGAGAAGAAGAATAGTAATTGTACGAACCTTTCATATGCTTGACAGAATTCTTGATTCTTCTTTCACATCCATCACAGTCCATTTTCACTTTTATTTCAACTGTCTGCATGCCAAGGAAGAAAAAAATAATCATAAGAATGCGACTTAGTGGTCAAATAAAACTTGTGATAACATTCAAAAAATATTAGAACAAACGACGTTATTATAGAGGGCTTTGATGAGTTAAACGGGGTGGGTGGTGAGCGGGGATAAAGCATAGAGCAAAAAGAAGAATTAAGGGCCTATCATTCGATTTAATGGTCAATGACGTGAGTTGAGCACCATGAGTCTCAGGTTCAATTTCTAATTGAGACAAAAAATGTTAAGTAATTTCTTTCCATCTATTCTAACTTTGATGGACAAATTTACCTGATACCAATTACTGATATGACATGTATTTCGTGAAATTATTCAAGGTCAGCAAAAACTAACTTGAACACCGCAATTATCAAAAATAAAGAAGAGAAAATTAAGAGCCTAAGACTTGGTGTCTTCTTGATCATGTCAACCCTTTAATTAATTTGGAGGGTTATAAATTGGATGAGTATTAAAGTGAATTAAGAAAATACCTGCATTGATTTCTTCTTGTTGTTTGTGCTGGTTGTGATTGTACAAAAACTTGCTAAATATTCCAAAACACCCATGATTTTGGCCCCTTATTGTTTTAATCAAAGCAAGAAGAAAAAAAAGAGAAATAAATAGAAGAGGAAGAAGGGAATTTTAGAAGTTGGGTCTGTGAGAATATGACATAATGATTGCTAGGCATGGTATATATATATATATATATATATATATATATATATATATATATATATATATATTAGGCGGGTTGTGCAAAAGAAAATCACGATAGATAATTGAGATTTAAAAACTAAGTACGTATATAGATACTAGTAGAAAGAATAAGTAGTTATTAATATGATGGCTTGACATTCCTTTATCCTTAATTAGAAGTCTTGAGTTTGAATTTTGGAAAAGAAAAAAAAAAATCTATTGAAACCAAACGTCAAAGAAATGGACTATGCAATATATGAATTTAGATTCAGTAGAACTCCAATGTAATTATCGAATATTTGGTGGAAAATAAGAGGAAAAAAGAATGTGTAATTTTAATATTTTGTATAATATATTACTTGTTTTATTTTTTATAGTTTGAGTTTTATGTATTAATAGTATAATAAGAAAATATGTAAATAATTGGATCGCTTTTAAAATATTTGATCTAATTTATACAATAAACGTTAGTTAATAATCTGATCAATGTGGTATGACAAGTTAAATTATATTGATCGTCTAAAATATATTTACATTGTCAATGTATTCAATTTAAATTATATTTCTCGAATTACTAATCTCATTTATTACATTAATTTTAAAACATATTTTGACAATATAAAAACTTTTGTATTATATATATATAAGTTAAAGCTCTTGAATTTGGGAGATTTAGTTTTTGTTTGATTATAAATTTTGAAGTTAAAACTTGAAAAATTAAGTTTTTGAAATATAAAGTTGAATCCAGAGTTTAGACATGCATTATGGTTTGAAAGAAATATGATTTTTATGAATGTGTCACGATCCAAAACGAGTCATGAGTGGCACCCACACTTAACCTCCTAGGTGGGCAAACCATTGAAGCCAAACCCCAACATATATTACTTGTTCAACTTACGAAATACAAACCATAATGCGGAAGCTCAATCTTATTAAGGTAAGAAACACAAATCCACTAAAGTCTACTCTATGTTATTTCCAAAATCTGAAAATCATCACATCAAGGACATCTAATCTTCAAATTAATACTAAGTCTAAGAGTATTAAAGACACCAATATAAATGAATAAAATAGTTTATGTCCGAAAACTAAGGGCATCATGCCATGACCAAGAGAATCCAACACGAGCTAGAATGAATAGCTCACCCTGAAACCTGATGTGCTGGAGATTGGCTAGAGCTGTGGGCGAGTCGAAGTCACTGGTACACTCGTTGCACTCCACAAAAAGAAAACAAAGAAAAACACAAGTAGGGCTCAGTACAGGGCAACATGTACTGAGTAGATATCATCGGCCAACCCAAAATAGAAACTAATATGTAATGGATAATAGTATAAAATCAACTATGACACTTAGCAGGTGGCAAGCAACAAACAACATGCACCAGTGTCCACAACACGCACCAGTGTCCACAACACTAAAGTAAGTACGTAATCAGTCAACAATATCAAGATCACACATGATGACTCATACCTCCAAACCAAGCTATTTTGGGAATTGAGTTCTTTGAGATTGAGTACATTCAGTTAAATCAATATGTTTTCCTCTTTAATGTTACCGTGTCAGAACGTGACACCCCGATCCAATAATACCATGTCGGAACGTGACACCCAATCCAATAATACCGTGTTGAAATGTGACACCCCGATTCAATAATGCCATGCCGAAACGTGGCACTCGTCCAATATATCGTTAATTTACCAATTATTATCACCACTTTTCACTTCATTAACAATATTTCATCAAGCCTTCTTTATTTAAAGCATCACTTCGCTAAAGAGGGTTTCAAATATAAATCTCACGGTCTCAGGATTTCAAACCAATCACAAACCACACAACCAAGCCATACAACCACACAATCAATTACATAAAGAACTTCACAATATCACTCAATACATATCAATCACTATTAAGAGTCTATCTATCACATAGAATAAACCATAACCTACCTCCACCGAAGAATCGAAGTCAAGCAAGCTACTTCTCCAATGCTTTTCCTTTCCTCAATGCCTTTGAACCTTTCCAATCTGTAGCCTTTCCGTCAAACTTATTGGCGGTGCTAAGAACCAAGAAGAAGAGGCACACGCGGTTTGTCTTCGATAACAAAATAATAACAACCCTTCTTACTTTAATTAATTAATTAATTTATATATATATGGGTATAAATTATGGATTAATAAATATTAAACCCTACTAATTTTAATACTATCTTCTTTAACCACTAACTAAATAAATTATTAAAACTATCCCATTAATTTTATACATATAGTTACGAATAGTCCAAAATACTCATTTAAAATCTATCGAAAGAGTCTTTTATGCAATAAAAAGCTCTAGTACTCAAAACGACCAAATGGGTTGTTACATTAGATACCAATTTACCCATCGTTCGTCCTCGAACGATCAAAAGAAGGTGAGGGTAAGAAAGTTGTCTCAACAATTCCTTCAAAATATTAGTACCCAAGGTCTCATATCAAAAGTATCAAACCAATCAATTGGAGATCTACACCTCCTCTCATACAATGCCTCAAATGGGTCCATCTCACTACTCTAATGATAACTGTTGTTGTATGTAAACTCAACTAACAACAAAACTATTCCCAAGTGAACTCTTCAACTGACCGATTCTCCAACTAGATATTGACACAACCATCAGGACAATTATTATCTAACATAACCATGATAACATACTTAATCAATATTGGCTACAATCAGGAGTGAACCTGAACTAGCCACCACACACTCATAATGCACAAACCATTATAGATCTTATCAAGATTACATCCTCACAACATAATATTTCCTCGAGCTTAAGCTATAAAAATATGATCTTTAGACATCAAGTAATCATAAAAGAAATCGAACTCATCTGATCCAAAGCTGGAAATGATCAAGTACCCACCATCGAGTGATACATCCATGCATACAGAACCTCTAACAACACTGTAAACCTTAAGAATGACAAAACTAGACCCAATGGTCCTCACATTCAATCACACATAGCCAAAACATGATACCGATGATGAGATAAATCTTAAGTCTATCGAACAACTGTAAATTTTCATGGTAGCTCTCCTATAAATTCTCATAAGCAAAGTTGTGCGTGTTGAATCACTAGTATACTTCAACTATCCCAAACAACACTAAATCTTCCATAACTGGAATGAACAAGTCTAACCAAGGATGCCACCCTACCAGAAGGACAATCACAAAATCGGTACACCCAATCCATTACTAGGGACTCACCCATAGAAGCGAAAACACACACAGACGTAGAAAGTGAATCATACTCTAAACCACGCCTAGAATGAAGTAGTTGGTCACATAAGAATATACATAACCAAGGTCGAATAACTCTAGATAATCCTTCCATAGTGCCATATCAAATATTTTCATTCATTTGACTCTATCTCTTTGATTTTCTAGCTACCACAATCACCAATTTAGTCCCTATTATAATTGCACACATACTTGGTTTATTGAACCCCACATCCACTGAAGTCAACACTCTTAATACTAACAAAACATCATAACCACATCGATCATCTACCTTACTCCTAAACCATCATTAGTATCAAAGTATTCTGATCAAATACATGTTCAAATTATGGCTATCTCTCTTTCTATTTAAGCATTTCATGACAAATATGAGTCCTAAACAAGGCTAATAGCCCTAATTTCAAATTTGATAGTACCTTTCCATCGAGAGAAATACTCACACCCAAAGTCAACTTCACACTACTTTCACATACCATGCTTTAGCTACCATTCTAAACCATCACATACCTCATGCCAACACTTAGGGAAATTCTTGATCACTCAAATTATTCTGTATACTATAAGCTCATAACCTCTATTCACCATTAAATGTCTATGTAACACATCATAACATTCTATGTAGTCCCATCAATAGAGTAGTATTAATCCAACTCTAAATTCTTAATAACCATGTAGAATTATATCTCACCTTGTACATCATTCTTAAGTCATCTGTCATAATTTGAGCAATCTAACCTCACGTAAAATTTTAAAATTTTCATACCTCACTGTTTGTCACCCAAACCAAAACTCAATATTTATAAAAGTCGATTATAAACTCCTAGTAAGTTTGTACCGAACTAGTTCATATCTCACGGTCATATCTAAACTCATAGGCAAAAATCAATACAACCTTCAACTACACCCCAAGGGTTTATACGAGAGGTCTTGTTCCTTCACTTTTCTCAAATTCTTCCATGGTGTAAAATTCTAAATATCTCGACCCTTCAATATATCAGACTCTTGTTTCTCTAGCTCGCTTACTGATCTCATCCTTTTACAGATAATCCATGACATTTTACTTCACACTCTAAATCAAAACTTTGAGGAAAATCCTTCCTTAGATCCTTTAACAATCAAAAGTAACAAACTTTATGGTCCAAAACATGCATAAGTTCTTTCACATGCTCAATACCGATGCAATCAATCATTTCTTATCTTACTAATTCATATCTTGAAAAAACATATCACCATAAATCTAGACATATAATGAAAAAAAAATTGAATTGTAAATTCAACTGTGTAACTCAATCCTCTTATCTATCAACATTAGCTCATACCTTGAAGATTTTTAGGAATTCATGTATCTTAGCTTATCATTGATCACTTCTTCATAGATCTTACCATATCCTTCGTTAAAAATTCAATAGTACTCATTACGGAACTCAAAATCACAAAAGAACTTATAGTCACACTCGAGTTGAACGTATGTACACTTTTTTCTCAAGTCTTTTCCAATCGTTTTTAATCAATCTGATGAACCTATGACAATATTATCATATCCATAGCAAAACAAATGGAACCACGTATCTCTGAACCCAATTCTCAACCCCTCCGAAGATACATCTTTAGCCCTTGTAATGAGAAAATTTTTTCTTGCTCTCACCTCTTTCCAAAGGCTACACTACATCTCATTAATTTTATTTTATTTTTCA